AGATATAACCATAATTTTAACTGGGAAACTGTCAGCATTTTAGACCAAGCTAAATCCAAAAATGGTGGGGACGCGGTGGCACAGCGGCTTAATGACACTGAAAGTTTTTGGCCAGAAATGGTTGACGCTTCAGCGGTTCGAGCTCAGCTCCGTGGAGCAGAGTGAGCTCCTGTCTCATCCCCAGCTTCTGCCAACCCAGCAGGGTGAAAGCATCCGCAAATAGATAAATGGGTACTCTCACCCCAGTCGGAGGAAAAACACTGGTGGCGCCTCGCTCGGGAGACGGGACTAGTTGCCGGTAACACAGAAGTCACGTACACCTGAAAAAGGCGCGACACAACGGAAACCCCGCCTCCTGCGCTCGCCAGCTGGGCTCTGCTCTAGGAAGGAGGCTGGCAAACCACTTCCAAAGCACCTTGCCTTGAAAACTGCAGGGACTCATCCAGGCAGTCACCGCAGAATCAGTCATGACTGAGTGCAGGTAAAAAAAAAAATCCAAAAATGCAAGGGAATTCTTGGAAGCTTGGTATTCAGACAAGGCAGCAATTAACAGACACATAAACAGCATCTACACTCTATTCAAAAGAGACAAAAGACCAGAACAGCTCCTCACCAGCAATCATCACGCAGAGGTTGCCACAGGGCACACAAGCAAGCAGCAAACAATACCTTAATCAAGGAGCTACCAGAGGAACAGAACAAAACCTCCACCCCCACCAACCCTGGCAGGGCACGCAAGAGTATCTAAACAGAGAGCAAACCCCATCCCATTCCAGCACTGAAGATGTTACCTAGCTGGGTAATGAAACTTTTGCAGGAAAAGAACCAAGCTCAGAGAACCCCAAGGACTCTGCACCCTGCACAGCATGGCTGACAGATCCCCCATGCCATAGGGTTTGAGGCTAGCCAGTGTTGACAAGCCCAGCAGAGGGGAGGCAGGTGAAGAAGACAACAAAGGTTAGTGAGGGGGTGGCAGCAGCAAAGGGCTGGTTGTAATGCAGACCAAGTGCCCAAATTTGATCACATGACCGCAGGGGCACTGCAACTGATGGAACTTTGAGGACCAGTCATAAGTCCATTTTTTCAGTGCCATTATAACTTTGAACAGTTGCTGAATGAATGGATGTAAACCAAGGACTACCTGTAAAATAAAATGTAATTTGTGGCAAAGAGCAGTAACTAGGACCGTTTCCCAACGCTAAGGACTCATCAACAACTAACTCACCAGACATCCTAAAGGATACTGAAGGGCATGTATGTACTTCAAACTATTATTTCAACATTGTGGAATTCATTAAATGCCTTACACTCATTTTATTAAGTTTTAGTAAAACAGATAAAACATAAAGCCCTTCTCTCTGTTGAATCTTTATTTTTTTACCTTATTGTCAGGGATTGGGAATGGTCCCACTCACTTTGGCTTCTGGCCCAGCTCAACCTTTGGAATTGTGGCATTTTGCGTGCCTAATAAAAGCCACAGCAGGCCTCAGGCTGACCCAAATTGTGCACTTTTATTACAGTATCTCTTGGGTGTAGGGCTACATTTTAATGATTTTATAAAGAAATACAGCAATCAATACAAACATAAACCACTAATTGCTACTGTTTTTAACACAACAGCTGACAATTCAGTATCTGATAATTAACTGTTACAGATAACTGAGATGGAAGAATATTGCACACTATTCTCATTTCCTTATTTGAATAAGGCTTTATTCAATTTGTTGGACAGATTAAAACCTTTATCTGTCCCCTGTATCTAATATATAAAGTTTGAAACACCTGTAGCTTGGCTGTTCACATCTTGTCTCTTTCCAGCAAATGTTCAAAATCTGTCAGCTTTATCCGTAGCATCATGTAAATCAGCCAAAGTTTTAATTTTAATTGTCTGAAACTTTTTAATTCAGTGCTTTAATCTTTTGAGATGTTGACATCTTTTGAGATTTATTAGAATTTTAAATGGGAAGCCTCAATTAAGAAATTACCTCTTCTTGAAACAATGTTGTGCATAGCTTGCAGTGAAGTGTTTCATAAGATAGTCTTGAAAAATCTGTATTTCAGACTGCATATTAAACCTCATTAAGCTCACAAGGGCTCTAAGTATCTTTTCTTAAAGGAAAAGTTAGCATATCTTGGATCACTCTCCCTTGGCCATCTGCCAACTGAACTTAAAAATCATCTACTTCAAATTTCAAGGTCAATCTTTTAACCAGTTAGTTAAAAAGAAGGATCATGTTCTCACTATGTTCTGGAAAACTGTACTGACAAATAGATATCGACTACAATCTTTGACTCTTTCCAATTATTGTTTTTTTTTTTTTAATAGCGGTCTTCGAGAGGAAATTTCTTCTTGGCTGGAAACAGATTAAATGCTTCATTTATTATAGTTCTAACATCCTCTTGGACATCAGGTTTCAAATTAGCTGATCTAACACAGGTTCACAAAGTGAAGGATTTTCTTTCCTCTCCTGATTTTTTCCTTTTTTGAAATCCTAATTTTGCTATGCTAAACATCACTTTGTATAAGAGCATATTGATATTTCACAGGCACTACAAATAATGTTTTATGCCTCTAGGCATAAATCTAGGCAAAATTCACTAGCCATCTTATCCCATCAGTACAAGTTTCTATTGCTCTCAGCAGGAGACCATCAGTTACCAGCTTCATAAGACCAACAAGATCATTTTCCACCAAACATTAAACTCGTTTCAATGCAGACCTCTTGCTTTACCTACCAATAGTATTATTACGATTATGCTATTATCACTATAATTAAGGCAGTTATTTCATACATAAAAAATATTTTAAAACTTCCACCTATAATTTATCTTTTCTAGCAAGATGAGTCCTTTGATGAGAACTGAGATGAATCCTTTGATTAAAACTCTTTCCACATTTCCAGCATTCATACGGCCTCTCTCCAGTGTGTGTTCGTTTGTGTGTGTTAAGATTTGTCTTTGTAACAAAGCTTTTTCCACATTCCAAACATTTATAGGGTTTCTCCCCCGTGTGGGTTCTTTCATGGGAAATAAGATTTATCCTCCGACTGAAACTCTTCCCACATTCCAAACATTTATGTAGCTTCTCCCCTGTATGAATTCTTTGGTGGGAGTCAAGATGAATCCTCTGATTAAAACTCTTTTCACATTCCAAGCATTTATAGGGTCTCTCTCCAGTGTGTGTTCGTTTATGCGTATTAAGGTTTGTTTTTGTAACAAAGCTCTTTCCACATTCCAAACATTTATAGGGCTTCTCCCCCGTGTGAGTTCTTTCATGGGAAGTGAGATTTATCCTCTGACTGAAACTCTTTTCACATTTTGAACATTTGTACGGTCTCTCTCCAGTGTGAGTTCTTTTATGTTTGCTAAGGTTTGTCTTTGTAATGAAACACTTTCCACATTCTAAACACTGATGGGGCTTTTCCCCTGTGTGATTTTTTTTGTGTTTAACAAGGTCTGAACTGCGAGCAAAGCATTTACCACAATCCAAACACATATAAGGCTTCTCCCCTGTATGAATTCTTTTATGTGTAATGAGGTCTGGACTGCGAGCAAAGCATTTTCCACACTCTACACACTTATGTGGCTTTTCACCGGTGTGATTTTTTTTATGTTTAACAAGGTCTGAACTGCGAGCAAAGCATTTTCCACACTCCAAGCATTTATAGGGTTTCTCCCCAGTATGAATTCTTTTGTGTGTAATAAGGTTCGGACTGCCAGCAAAACATTTTCCACACTCCAGGCATTTATAGGGTTTTTCTCCTGTGTGAGTTCTTTTATGCGTTATAAGGTCTGGACTATGTATAAAGCATTTTCCACACTCCAGGCATTGATAGGGTTTCTCTCCTGTGTGAATTTTTTTATGTTTAATAAGGTCTGAACTGCGAGCAAAGTATTTATCACACTCTAAACATTTATAGGGTTTCTCCCCTGTATGAATCCTTTTATGAGCAATAAGGTCTGGACTGCCAGCAAAACACTTTCCACATTGCGAGCACTGGTATGGTTTCTCCCCAGTATGAGTTCTTTGATGTCTACGTAGGTTCGTATTTGAAGTCCAGCATTTTCCACACTCTAGGCATTTATAAGGTTTCTCCCCTGTGTGACTTCTTCTATGTATAATCAGCTTGTCCTTTGTACTGAAGCACTTTCCACATTCCAGGCACGTACATGATCCCTCCCCACTGTGAATTTTTTGATGTCGACGTAGGTTGGTGTTAGAACTCAAACACTTTCCACATTCCAAGCATATGCATAGTTTCTTTCTTATGCAGATTCTCTGAGGTGGACATGGTTTTCCTTTATCCTTATTTTTCCATTTATCACCTTCAGGAATAAAGACAGGTAATTAACTCAAAAATTAATATTTTAAATTCCAAATTAATATTCTAAATCAATGATTGTGAGAAACCAAAGCACTTAACATGGCATTGAGCAGATCTTATCATTCATAAAACAGGGAATAACATAAAGCTGGTGCAGAAAATGTCTAGTCTGGGCCTATGTGAACCTGGGTTCAAATCCCAGTTCAACCATGAATTCTTCTAGAAATTAGTTATTCCCACTTAGCTTTTTCATTCTGCAAGGTTAACTAGAGCTTCCTAATGCAAGAAAGGAATAACTGGGAATTAGAGAAAAATTGAAGAGGCAAGCGGATACATCTGGAGGTTGTCCCAAATCCTTCCTAAGACTGAAAGAAAATTGTAATATTAAGCTTTGATTTTCAAGATTATCAGTGTTCCCAACACAAGAACAAATCTTCCTTCTTGTGACCTTACTCATTTGTTAATAACTTGTTTGATTTCCTATTTGCCCAAAATACTCTACCAGAAGAACAAATGGCAGAGGGCTCTCATAAGGGATTCCAGTCTTGTCCAACACTCTTATTAATACCTTATCTCTTTTTTGTTATCATCTAGACTGTAGGATATATTTACTCCTAGCACCATCCTTGTATTCAAAAAAGTTTCCTTTGTAGGTCTTTCTGGGACATTACATATTCCAGCTGGGATCATTTGTACACAGAAGATGTCTTTTATCAGTAACTTCTGTCCATATAGGGAATCAAAGCTGTCTAAATATGAGTCACAGCCCAGGCAATGATAGTGGCTTGTAATATGCCTCCCCATGCTGAGATAACTTGCAACTAAGTTTAGAATTCTGTCTTTGATTTCCACTGGAATTTAAATAATTTCATCCAATATCAAGTAATAATTAATACCTGCTTCC